AGTGGCACAGCATTGTGTCTTTGGACTTACAATGCTAGAAACTAGGTTTTGATACCTATGGTGGGAAAAGCACAGATAGCCCATTGTGTAGCTTTGTGCTTAAATACAAACAAACAAATTCAGTCCTTGACCACGTGGTCGCCCTCTTCACAGTTAATGTTCCACTCAAGTATATTCAAAAGTTTATTTTATTTTCATCTAAATAATCCTACTCCTGACATCAGTGTTATAACGTTTTTTTTTTTGTTTTTTTTCATTGATGAGTTCTTTTAAATTATCTGGTGAAAATAATTCAAACTCCAGTCCACGTAAATGAGTTTATTACTTCCTTGGCGTTTCTACAAATTTTTCATCATCGTACACTGTTTTAATTTGTTGTATGGCTAAAATAAAAAACAAAAAAATAAATCTTGCTAACTGTAAAACACTGATCTGAAAATAAACTTACTTTTACTTTCCAACTTAAAACAAACTCTGGTTGAAATGAAAACACACTCAGACAGTTTCACTTTACTATCTTCTTAACTATCTACTTGATACTTCACTGACTCCATATTTATAACCTACCCTGAATGTATTAGAACATTTTACACCATATCCCCTAGAATTTTCCAGGTGTTCTAGGCCTCTCTGATGTTAAGGTAATCATAATGAACCACAGCTTCCTCTGACTAACAAACAAAATTAAAAATATAACTTATAACAATATCATGAGCCCCATTGAGTGAAACCAATCTAGTTGAACTGATACTGTTCTATATTGTGAATTATCGTTACATCATTGTGTTGTTGTATCCTGTGTTAATCTTTCCTAAAACTTGCATTATTTGCTTTAACATGGTGAGCATGGGTTTAATACCTGGAACATTTTCCACGGTTTAGGCTACAATTTAAGCCATATGTAAAAAATGAGTTAGGTTACATTTATTCAGTTTGTCAGCGAATAATCATTGCACAATTTACTTGGTTTTTCTGTTAATGTTTGTTAGTTCAGTGCTGTGAATATAAGAATACTGAGTTTTTCGATGAAGAAATTGTGGCACGAACTTAGCAAATCAGTGGAACTTTTATTCTGACATAGTTTATTTGTGGAGTTAGGCCTGTAGCAGAACATTAACTTGTTGTGCCAAAAGTGGAGTTCAAGAAATAAAACGCTATTTTCATCTTTAAGTGGGATGGACTTTGCATTATTATTTCTAACCGTGTAATTCAAAATAATCCAGATAGAAACTGACTGTTACAGCAGTAGTATATTTCTTATCAAGTACAAACTGATATCCTGACTTCCTACGCCTTGCAGTTTTAATGCTACCTACCGAAACCCGAACTCTAATCTGACCACAAGTACATATATATTTATATGCACCCCTGATGGGTGCAAGGTTTTTCCTTGACTTTGTTTCAAAACGTACTAAATCAATGAAAGAACTTGTACCACGAAAATTAAAGTTTTGTTTACAGGTGAAAGAATTAATGTTTTTACACTTTTTTTAGTCTTAAAAACAAAAACACTGCGTTCCGCTAGGTTTAAGAATCGTAAGGTGGATACAACTGAACGATGGAAAGAATCCGTCACGTTTGCAGTACCAAGAGTGAGTGATACTACATCGCTAGGCAACAAAGGAAATACAAATCAATGACAACTGTTAAATAGGGGAAATCAAATATAATTTTACACCTGAATACTGATTAATGCTAGTTTTTGTTTTCATATCGAGAGCTTCTTTGATTTTTCTGATATCTTTATTATATTTCTCTGTCTATAATTTTTACATCTATAAAAACAACACCGTGATTATTTTGAGCCATGTGCTCAAACATAAGGAAAGAAGTTATTAAGTATTCTTTTAATCTTGTGGATGTTTGTCGATCGGTTTCTCCAACGTAATAATTACCAATCTTTACGTGTAATTTATCCTGAAGAACCGTGGCCAACAAATTTTGTACGATATAATTTGACCTAGCTTTCTTGCGGATATGAAGGAAACTTTCAAATCAAAATCCATATTGTATTCGTTATTCTTTTTAACCAGGATTTTTTATAGCATGTGAGAGCCTGAGGATATTTCTTAATCGTTAGTTGCATCTTCAGATTGCGATTCATTTTTTAGGAATGACAACGTTTTATTTATGGCTGCGAGAGGATTTGATTTGCACGTAACGGTTTCGTGCCTTCATCCAATTGTACCTACCTGACGATGTAAGCCTTGTGAAACATGGTATTTTTTTTTTTTTTCAAATTAAAAAGTTTTAGAAAAATATTACTTACTTATCTCACAATGTGTTCGTCTATGTTGAGTGGTCATTTGTGAAAATAGTTTGAAACTGGGATATTTTGGAAGTACTTAGTCGTCATTCATTTTCTAAGGGCACAGAAAAACAAATAATTCTAAGATAATATATATATATATATATATATATATATACATACATACATACATACAAGGAACTTTATCTGTATACTTCAAAGAAAACAACATAAGAAATCTTTAAAAACATCTGAAAGTCAAAATATAGTGACTTGAATTGTAATTAATATTTAAACCTTCAACTCATTCGTCTTTACAAAACGAGCATACAGAGCTGGACCTATCAAATTTGTCAGAAAAAAAAAAGAACTAACAGCATACTTCTTTATGACAAAATATTTGTGTCATTTCCACTAATACATCAAAGCGACATCTGAAAACGTAATTTTTCGCTTTTTCCTTCACTTAATGACTAAACATAAAAAAAATCGGTTTAATTGAATTGTTTCATATTTAACCTACTTAATCGTGATGACTCTTGCATTCCTTGAAACAACTGTAATAACCTGGGCGTTATACTTTCCCCAAGAATATTTACAAGTACTGTCTAACTCAATTTAGTATTAGGTTACAAAGTAGAGGCCTATGAAATAATTTCATGGACGATGTTTATTAATAAATAAATAAAACGTGTGGAGCAAATTTATACACTTAGTGATATGACGGTATAACAAGTTTTACACCAATAACGCCAGCATGTTTATAGGCTATAGTAAGTCAGTAAATATCAGGCGGAGAATGATGGTATTTTTATACTCCAAAAGGTCCACATTTCAAACACTTATAATAGTTGTCTAACCTTAATGCACTGTCATAACATCTATTTCTACATTAGACCTTGTACTGGTTAAAAGTGTAATAACTATCATAACATTATTTTTGTTCAAATAGACTTCATATTAGTCAAACTGTAATAAACTGTATAAACATGGACTTTATTGCCCTGCACATAACTATGAAGATATGGGCTTTGTTTACACTAGACCTGATATCAGTCAAAACAAAAATATGTGAAGCAAAATATCTTTGGTATAGATGATTTAATACTAGTAAAAACCTAAATACACTGTGGAAAACATGGATTTTGTTACACTAGACCTGATAATGATGAAAATTATAATACACTGTTATAACATGAACTTTGTAACATGTCTTGACACTGTTCATACACTGTCATACCATAGGTTTTATAACACCATACCTGGTATTAGTTGAAATGTTTTTTATTTTAATAAAATGGACTTTAAGACGATTTTATACAGATCAAAACTGGAGTACATAAGAAGTAGCACAGACCTTCTTACATGAGATTGGACACTGTAAACCACATTAACTGATTCTTATACAATGAATGTTGACACACACAACTTAATGTTGGTCAATAAGTAAGAGCATAAGATGCATGATAACATCTAAGTGTACAATACTTCACTGCAGTGAGAGAACTTAGTATAGCAAAAAGTTATGCAAGCTCACACTGGAAAGTAAATAAAAGTTAATGAAACCTGACAAAGAGAAGAAAGACCTACAGTTACACTCCTGCTAAAAATAACTTGCATCTTAACGAATATCTAAGGACAAGTCAATAAAATAGGCTTTGACATCTTAATGAAATTAGAAACCTGAAATTTGTCATTTTCAGATACACTTAAAAACCATTTCATTTCAATAACAAATGCACATTTAATGTGAAACTAAACTGTATCTTTTTATATACACTTGCAACATATTCAAATCAGAGAAAACTACATATATAGTTCAAAATGTAAAGAAAAATTTTAAATCTTAAAATAATCACATATTAATCCAAACTAAAATGACCAACTTATTGGTGAGAAGTAACTTGCTGATACATAGTCTTATATTTCAACACTGCTACAAATCAAATCTGGTTACATGTAATTTTATAAAATTTTGAAAATTTAGTTATGCGTATGTATTAACAATTTGTATTACACACCAGTAAATAATGTTCAGTTGCAATGATGTTTAAATTAAAATCAGCATATATTCCTGTTTATGAAGAGCATTTGTGAGCCATAGAAATATAAACAAACTACACCATGGTTTTATTCAACTACACGTAACTACTTGTAGTTTAATTTCATTACATCAGAAACTTTCAGAAATGGCATTATACTGGATTAAGTACGGAAACCATTTACATATATATATATATATATGTGTGTGTGTGTGTGTGTGTGTATGTGTGTGTGTGACCAAAAAAC